GTGCACACATCGCAACAAACAACAGTCCACACACATCGCAATAAACAACAGTCCACACACATCGTAATATACAACAGTCCACACACATCGCAATAAACAACAGTCCACACATCGCAACAAACAACAGTCCACACACATCGCAATAAACAACAGTCCACACACATCGCAACAAACAACAGTCCACACACATCGCAACAAACAACAGTCCACACACATCGCATCTCTCTCACTCTCTCATTCCGTCTACTGTCTAGCATAGCAGCACATATAGCAGGAATACTGGATGACCATGAGACTATTTACATTCACAAACAGATGCACCTTGGAACTGTTGGTCTTTTTGTGTTGTCTTGCTAGGTTTAGGGTTTAGAAGTTTATCATCTACCCCTCAACGAACAACTCTCTGGGGTGAACGTTCTCAGACATGATCCATACACGCATGTATCTGCCACAGTAAGCACGTGTGAGTGTATGCTTATACGTTCGTCCCTCCGATGGGTTGGGTGAAGTTCGGTACACCTACCTACCTGGTGTGAGCAGATTGTCCCGTTATTAGTCTCTCTTGTGTGTTTGCTTGCTGTGGCTGTACAGTTGGCTCGACTGATTCACACCCACTGCCCCTTCTCTTTGTTATCCCATGTGTCTGGTGTGGCCACAGGTTCGCAGACGACTGTGTTGGCGGGTGGTCGCTATAGTGACCTGGTGCGTGAGTTGGGGGGAACGGATATCTCTGGGGTGGGCTGGGCGGGCGGAGTAGAGCGCTTGCAGATACTGATTGACGAAGTGCATCCCAACTATGTGCAGGACAACGGGTATGTGGGGGCTGAGGGGTGGGTATAGGACAGTGTCGGTTGAGGTTGGTAGTGAGGAATGTACCTACATATCAATGTATGTATATAGTAGTGCACTTGTATACCAGTGTGCTTATTATCTAGTCTGTTTACTGGTTTTCATGGAGACCCTGTTATATATGGCTACATAAACGCAGGAATGAAACTGCTACATAGTGATTCCTCATACCCAATGGAGAGGCTATTTCTCCCGTGCTTGCCTACGCATACGCCATATATCGCCTATCTTTGCACAGACTGATCCCCACCAGAGGTCTGAGCACTAAACCACTAAAACTCTAAACCCTAAATCAGTACACCCTAAAAAAAGTATCCCCTAACGCCCTAAACCCCAAAACTTCAACCCTTAACCGTCTCCACAGGCTGATGCGCACCAGTGAAGTGGCCGTGTGCTCATTGGACGGTGCTGCATCGCACGTGCACTGTCTGCGACTGACCCAAACACTGCGCGCTGCGGGTTACCGAACTGTCTTCAATCCAAGCAAGAGCCACTACAAACAGCTCGGGGCAGCGGACACGGCAGGCTGTCAGTATGCGGTAGGTCTATTTGTATTGACTAATCCCTCCTGACAGCATGTATTGGTGTGGTAGTGTGAATGTATGTCTGTCCTGACAGCATGTATTGGTGTGGTAGTGTGTATGTATGTCTGTCCTGACATCATGCATTGGTGTGGTAGTGTGAATGTATGTCTTTCCTGACAGCAAGTGCGAATGTATGTCTGTCCTGACAGCATGTATTGGTGTGGTAGTGTGAATGTATGTCTGTCTTCAATCCATGCACGAGCTACAGCAAACAGCTCAAGGCTAGCTGACAATAAATGGTAGGCCTATGTGTAATGACTAAACCCTCCTGACAGCATGTATTGGTGTGGAAGTGTTAATATCTCTCCGTGCCATTGTGCGTGCGATTGCTTCTTTGTGATAGTGGATTCGTATTATTCTAATACCAGACTCAACTAGTACAACGAAGTGTGATTGTAGTGGCCCTTGCTGTGGTGGCGTGACAAATGATACGCCTAATGGTCATGCCTTTGCGAGGGTTGTTTGACGAGGGGGAAAGCAACACTCGAATACAATCGACACAATGCTATTGGTAGTACACCCGGATGATTGCAGATGCGCATATCATGTATTGTCCTGTTCAAAGTACAGCCAAGGTGGATGCAAATACCGCATAGTATATTAACTCCATGGCACTTTTTTTTCTTATATACATAGATATAGATATAGATTTATATATATATATATATATATATTCGGCTTGTCTCTTTACTTGCGCCGAATTGCGTCAGTTTGCATTCATTTCTATTCCAATATAGCCAATGTATTGAACCTAAATACGACAATCCTACAGCTACTGATTGGGAAAGACGAGGTAGAAGGATCGTCCGTATGCATCAAGGATCTACGCACAAGTGAACAGACAACGATACCACTACATGACGCAGTCACGTGGATTGGCCACCAACAACCGCTGAAATAAACGAACAACAGTACTTCACCCATTTGTCTTGGATTTTTCGTTGTATAGGGTTCGGGTGTAACTCTAGAAACCCTTGTTCTGGATATAGTGCTGCTACATACACATAACATTGTCAACCGTGTAATTCTTAACTGGCCTCGTACTGCGCCCATCGATAGGGTTTAGGGTTTAGTAGTGCACACATACACACCGCAGTTGGAAATAGCATTTATAGAAAATAGTACAATTTCAAACAAGAATGAATACACCTAACCAAACACAATTTGACGAGTTTTAGAAAGCGTGCGACACGCATATACGCCTATTCATTTGTTGCGGCCAAGGCACGGGATGGGTTTTGAAGGTTTTTAATCCCAAAAGGATGTATTATGGCATACATATAAAGGAGAGGGACTAGTCAAATGGACTAGTCATAGGGCTAGTCATAGGGTTAGTCAAATGGACTAGTCATAGGGCTAGTCAAATGGACCAGTCAAATGGACTAGTCATAGGGCTAGTCAAATGGAACAGTCAAATGGACTAGTCATAGGGCTAGTCAAATGGACCAGTCAAATGGACTAGTCATAGGGCTAGTCAAATGGAACAGTCAAATGGACTAGTCATAGGGCTAGTCAAATGGACCTGTCAAATGGACTAGTCATAGGGTTAGTCAAATGTGGACTAGTCATAGGGCTAGTCAAATGGACCTGTCAAATGGACTAGTCATAGGGTTAGTCAAATGGACCAGTCAAATGGACTAGTCATAGGGCTAGTCAAATAGACGAGTGATTTGCGCTACGTACGAAGGACTATTCAAATCACTAATGGACTAGTCATTTGTGCTACGTACGAAGGACTATTCAAATCACAAATGGACTAGTCCTTAAGCTAATGTCCGGCTGCCGGCTGCCAAATAGCAACCCAACCCTGCGAGTCTCACGCTGCCATATGTTATGGTAACCTGCTTTCTGCGGATCTCACTCCCTGATATTTAAGAGCTTATTACAGTGTGAGACAGTTGTATTGTGCGGCAAGACTTCGTATTCCTTGGACAATGAATATTTCTGGACTTATTCGAACTGACAGATGACGGGGATGCATCCACCAGCAGTACCACAACACAGACGCTCATATTTTAGTTTGCTCGTGTTTAAGGGTTTTTGGGGTTTCATCTGCTGTGAGTATATCTTTTAAAAGCTAATAACATGAAACGCTATCTTACGAAATACCACAGATCTCAACGCGCTCATGTGATTGGATTGTCATATAACGATCACACAGATTTAAACAATAGAGATGCACAGATCTTGTTCCTCAAACTGGTTAGGATTTCTCGTTCAGGTTTCGGGTTCCAGTTCCAGACTCCAGCATTCAAATTATAAGGTCTAAGCTCCAATAAATGAAACAGAATTCAATAAACAATTCAAACTTTATGGTAGCGGTGCGAGTCCCGTCTTCTCGTGACGCGTAGCCATTCGAGATACACAGATTTCAAAATATTCAATATTTTCTGCCATTTCAAAAATTCGGGAACACGTAAAATAAAATGAAATGACTATCGCGCATATCGTGAACAGTCTCAAAGCGATTGCAAATACCTCGACTAATCTGTGGTATTGAGATCTCAAAATGTGAATCTCATGAAATCTCAAGTGAGCATTCCGACTATTGCCACACCGTGTGTGGCTTGGCCCTTATGCGTTCATGCGTGCACATTACTATATACGTACGTTTACATATAGATCAAACCAAACATTACTATAGGCATACATAATACCTGAGAAGACATGTTCAGGCATTCAAGATGACGGCTCCATGCGTACACCGTTGCAACTCCGACAACAACATTACAGCCCGGGGGGTCCCAAACATCTTCCTACAACGACCTACAAGCGACAACGGGCGATCAGAGAACCACAGCAACACAGATTCGGCACACCATCAGCATACGGCATCGGATGTGTGTGCCGGTGCGACGGAACAGCACGATGGATTGCGCACTATGAAAAGCAACTGTGACTTATGGACTTCTGCCGATGCGATCAAGTTGAGAAAATCTCCTACCAGAAGGGAGGGACTTAATCTTATGTGTCTTGAAATGAAATGACGAACGGTGGTGGCGCCTTACTGGTGCAGCATGTTTATTGAATGAGTTACGACTGCAAAGCCCTAAGAGACGGGATAGTAGGATGGCACGGTGCGCCGTTCTCACCACAACGAGCTGACCGTGTGACTCACACATGTGGTGGGGTGCACATCTCACCAAGTGAATCAAGGCATATTGTAGAAGAAGAAAAGTATACGCCAGATGGAGAGATGGAACGCGAAATAAAGGACTATTGAAATACATATGAACTGTGCAATGTTCTGTAATCTTTTAGTTACAAATCAGCTTTGGTCGAACTAATATGTTGTCTACAGATCCACACTACCGCATACATTCGGAGTTATTCAATCAAGCCTACGGCGACCTGAACCTCGCATTTCTGACTGAGAATCCCATTCTTACACGAGCAATCAGGTGCCCTATTACCAACCTCGCAGTCCCACATATGTTCCAGAATAGTCGCGTGGACCAAAAAGGAGAACTCATGGCACTACTGTTGCCCACTATAAGCTGTTCATGCGACGACAATAGTGATCCCGAAGAAATGTCACAAAGTAGTTATATAACATACAATATATATTTCACAGCGGGTTTTTTTACTGTGGTAAGGGCACGAACACCCGGAATTATATACATATATTAAACTACAACCTAAATATAGGTTAAACTCTGCAACCCGTGGTGCGTATTCTGAGGATCATTCGATGCCGAAGTAAAAGACAAGATCATCTAGAGCACATTCACCCACTCGGTTCTAAACTTCTCCTCGTGTTTAAACATCCGAAACGTAGTTCGCGCACCGGCCCATCATGTACTCGATACATTTGAACTAAATATGCGTTCGGGTTGATGTTAAAGAATATTATTAACTTGTTCAACTGATTTTTGATGCTGACCCCAACTTATCGAAAATATCACCGATGATTTCATTTTAAAACGAAGGTAGACCGGAGCATATCATCAAAAGTTTAGCAGACTGCCTTGTTGTCACGGGCTCTCAATTGATCTTTGCGCATGGGCATCGCATCAATAAGATCAAACAATTCGTCTAACAACTCAGCATCATCGGATGACTTCTTCTTTCCCCCATCGAACCCCACCAGCCACAAGCCCTCGCCGTTCACAAAGCCGGGTGTATCATACAGATTGTTCTGGCCGTCCACAAAGTAGATGGTCTTCATACTTCTATCGGCCATATCGCATTCATTATCTTCTACGAATGATTTTGTAGTTTCGTATAGATCGCTCTCTGTGTCACTGACAGAGGCGACCAACAACCGATTTTTCCACTTTCGACTATTGATGTCTTTCTTGGCTTCGGCCATAGGCATGGCGACCAGTGCTAGGGCAATGACACAGAGTGTGTTCAACATTTTTGCATATGTCTATTACAAATAGTCTTTGAATGGTGAGGCCTACAAATGTGCCCACTATGACCACAGCATGCTGTTTTAAATATCTGGTGGAGACATCCCGTCGATCAGGTATCAATTCTACAGTACATACGATATTCTCATAGTTGCTAAAACTTGCTGAACTATACAGAGTGAATATTTACATTAAATACAAGCTAACACTTTAATGTAATTCACAGGAATGTAATGATATTCATGCGCAGTCGTACCCCTCATTCTAATGATTTCATTGGTGTGTTGGTGCTGACTTTTATCATCTGCGGCGTAATCAAAATTCGACCACACAAACTATAGCCCTTTAAAAATTAAATAATACACAAACCCCAACTAAAATAGTAAAAGCCTATACTCACTTATTTGACATAACCCTAAAGCTGTATATAAAGAAGTACGGTACTTTGCAACGTCCTCGATCCCCAAAGGGCAATAAATAGATGAATAGATTCATAAGATATTCTGTATTTCTGTGTAAATATGCAGACTCTCAGAACCGCAGGCAAGTCAGCACGAGCAGACACGCGCCACACAAGGTGCATGCACAATACATACATTCCCATGTAACGAATAAACACTTGAATACACAATCCTCGCTCAGAAACATGCCCACGCGTGTATGCACGACATTTCAATCACGCACATATATATAATATAGGCTTGCTTTTAGATTGGCGTTTTCCTTGATGTACTTTATATATAATGAAAAAAAAATTCTTGAAGTACGTATATATAATATAAGCTTGCTTTTATATTGGCGTTTTCCTGGATATGTTATACTTGTCTGTACCTAATCTCACAGACATATACAATCTCTCACACTGAGTTAAGTTATTTAACCTCATTATGTTGGCGTATAGCCAATATTCAGTTGGGCTGATGCAACCTCACATCCCATCTATCCGGTACACTGCAAAGTATATGAGGACCACCAGACACTGCTCAACGCTCAGGCCGAGTATGTGTAATACTAATATAAGCTTAGGTAGTAGATCCATAGATAGTAGAGCGTCTGCTAGTTTGCAGAGGCTGTCGCCCCTGAGATACTTCAGACGAAGGTGTGTGCTTCTTGGTGTGTGCTTCATGGCGTGTGCAGTGGTGCAATGGTTCGGGTGGCACAAAATAGATTGGCCTCAAAGCATACTCATCAGCATGTAGCAATGTTCGTGACCGAATCCCATTCTGGAAATGGGGAGCTTGATATAACGCTCATACTCATTGAGTGATATATGTTAGAGTACCATCTGTTTTTTTAGTGCTTTGCATCTGACACATACGCTCATGCGTGTACGAGGATACCTTTGGCAAAAACATTAGCCAGGCCATATATACCTACATGAATAAACGCCAAACACTGCTACAATGAGAAGTAATTTATGAATACATGTTGTGTGTGATGCGTCTAATGCAGTTGTGTAAAGGGTACCTTCCAAGCCTAAGGAGCGAATTGTTTACCTACCAATATATATATATATATATATATATATATATGTGTGTGTGTGTGTGTGTGTATGTATGTATGTAAGTATATATATATATATATATATATATATATATATATATATATATATATATATATATATATATTTATATATATATATATATGTGTGTGTGTGTGTGTGTGTGTGTATACATATATATATATGTGTGTGTGTATATATATATTTGTGTATTGTTAACGAGGACGGGGGGAAGGGTGAAGTGGGCGTTTTTGCAGAGTAACTGCATCTGTCCAATTTGCTCCAAATCTCCATCACACTATTACTGTATGTGACTTCCATAACAGTACAGTCACACTCGAACAATTCCCTCTTTCACGCTGGAGAGTCAGTGAAAGTTCACAATCAACTGTGTACTACTGATATTATTGATGTACATTTATGTACTGATATCATCGATGTACATTTGTGTATTTATATTATTGATGTACATTTAATTATTATATCATTGATGTACATTTATGTACTGATATCATTGTTGTACATCTGTGCATTTATACCTTCTCTTTGGCTTTACAGTCATGTGAATTCACCCGAGAACTGGAAAGAACATTCGCACCACAATGACACCGCGGCTATTTCCGCAGCAACGGGTGAGTTGTGTCGGTTGTCCTTAGTCGGGATACTCTGTCCCGAAACGTTCGTCTGAGTGTGACTTGTGTTCATATCACTCTCATATGTTCATATCACTCTCATGTGTTCATATCACTCTCATGCGTTCATATCACTCTCGTGTGTTCATATCACTCTCGTGTGTTCATATCACTCTCGTGTGTTCATATAGCTCTCGTGTGTTCATATCACTATCTTGTGTATAATATGTTAATATCATCGTGATTGATTACGACAGCCGTTCAGAGTTTATTAAAGCATATTACGATGCAATTGCCCTTTTCCACACTTACTGCGATAGAAACAACCGTGTGAATAAGGACATATCTGCACACACACAGTGTCTGTATAGGCATCATGCAACACACATAGCAGAGAACACCCTAAACCCTAAACTTACAACACCTGGCCTTCGGTCCTTGAGCTGGTATAGTAGATATGTTACGGCTGTGTGCAATCTCAGTGCTTTCAGCCGCGGTAGTTGGGATACAATACCACAAACACCCTTTGTTCAACCTGATAATCCATCGAATTTCTGGCACTATGGACAACTACACCCCTCAAACCCTAAACCCTAAACCTAAACACAGTGCTGCTCATCAGAGACGGCGCAGATGGCCTCGAGACGTTGCTGCTGCGCAAAAACGCAAAGATCACATTTGGCGGGATGTGGGTCTATCCAGGAGGCAAGGTGGACGACGACGATCGCATAGGTCTACAGCCGCACGACGATATAACCGCAGCCCGTCGAGCGGCTGCGAGAGAGGTGGGTAGTTTAAGGGAGTTAGGCATAGTGTAGGTACGTTGTCTGTATAATTTGTGGATGGCTGGGTGGGTGATGTAGGTATATGTATAGTGTAGTGGGGTAATGGTGATGGTATCACTGTTGTCTGCACCAACCCAATGCGTAATTCTTTGAGTATAGGAACTATTATATCACTGTCATCTATATAAACCCTAACCCTAGAACCCTACTACATTGGTGCCCTGTACCTTTCAGACAGAAGAAGAAACTGGGCTGAAAGTGGACATTGATCTCATGCTCCCGTTTGCACACTGGCGACCGCCCAACAAAGTGCTGCCCAGAGTGTACCTGACATGGTTCCTGTTGGCTCCTGCTCCGAAAGGTAACTGTCCTCCGAGAGTGCGTTTGTGTGTATGTGCATTGTACACCTATGTGTGTGCGTGTCCGTGTGTGTATGTGTGTGTGTGTGTGTGACAGTGTATATGTCACTCTGTGTGTGTGTGTGTGTGTGTGTGTGTGTGTGCGAATATATATATATATATGTATGTATATATATATATTGTGTCTGTGTGCGCGCGCGTTTGTATGCGTGTGTGTACGTGAAAGTCGCATATCGATTGAATCAGATTAGCACGCATTCACGCGCGATCGTTCATCGTCCTTTCCATATACACATACTCTCTCTCTCTCTCTCATCCTTCTGTTTAATTCACATACTCTCTCTTGCACGCTTTCATTCTTACACCTGCTGTGTGCAACCCATCAACCAGATTGTGAAGTAACAATAGACGATGGAGAGATCTTGGAGTATGCGTGGATGTCACCGCAGGGAGCCATAGACAAACGCAACAGAGGTGAGATAGAACTAGCACCGCCCACATACGTCAGTCTGCTGGACATGAGCCAATGGCACACAGTGCGTGAAGCCATGGACGCGGTACGACAGCGCACCCCCGAGCACTACGAGACCCAGTTTTCTCGGGTGCAGGTGCAGGTGCAGTCGGGTGTCCCTGGAGAAGAAAACGGACAGGCGGGGCACGGGGAGGGACTAAAGAAGGACCAAGTGGTGCTACTGTGGCATGGAGATGAGCACTTTACCCCTTTCGACGGTGTGGTGGGTGCGAGACATCGCATGACCATGGGCAAGGAGTGGATATATCAGCGTAATATTTGAGGCATAATCAACTTGTAAATAGATGCTAGATTTAGGACTTAAATAGGACAGAAATAAAACAGATATAGGACCGATTGGGACCGCTGTTTATTAAATTGCTGTGTGCTGTGTTCCAGCGAGCTGAGATTGAGGGTTTGTTTTCGCTGCCACTGCATATTTCAAGTGCGGCTGCAGTATGCATGCAGCTCCGACACCGGCGATGGGAATACAGGCCACAACCAAATGATCATCGTTTACTACTGCGCTGGCGCGCTCACTAGTAAAATGCACCGTCAGTTGACTATCGAAAAGTTTAAGTATTCGTGCTGATATCCAATTTGCATGTACCCTTAGATGCCTTTGGCAAGCAAATGATGAAGCAAAGGGCGAGGGTATTCACAACGAAACTTGTTAACTGTCGCTGTGATTGTGTAAATTAAGCATCACGGTGAATCGTAGCTGCGAAGTTAAAAACATGTGTGAATATAATACATATGATCACTGTTGCCCTGCTATTTAAACTATTGAATCACCAACACAGTTGTGCTCGTGGGGTAGCGCATGGTCTACTCTGCCTGGCTTAATCATCAACTATGCTCACCGAGCCAGTGCGCAAAAGTGTAATTGAATACCCAACTAATACACATTCATTTTTTTTAAATATATAAAAACAGCTTACAAGAAGAAAAATTGTCATGACCTTCCGAACCAGGCAAGGGCCAAGAAAAGACGAGAAATTTGTTTCAAAAGCAACAGATAGATTATATCGTACTCCGTCACCGAACTAGATTCATATCACGAGCTATAAAAGAAATTTTGCCTGTAGCGCTTCACGTCGTCGATGAACAAGAAGCATTCTATCAGGTCTCTCAACAAATACGAAACCAGGCGATCTATACTGAGAGAACCACGATCAATACCTTTTAATAATTGCTGAAATATGGGCCGTATACAGGCTGTTGTATCAATTTATGCAATATACACAACTTGTAATCAGATCAATTGATTACACTCCAAAACACTGTGCGCTGGTTTATGGGGTTATAAGGGATACAATCGAGCGGCCTGAGATACTCACCAAAGTCCTGGGGAGTAAGCGATTTATACAGAGTGGATTGAACTTCCTGTTTGAGTCTTATCTGCTACCCTACATCTACCCGCTCTTATATCGTTGTTTCTTAACTTGGGAATTCGGCACAGTACAGCTTAACGACACCTACGTGTGTGTTTGGCGTCGTCCGTAGATTCTTGTCTTGGTGATGATCTTCCCGTGTTCTTCTTTGTTCTTCCGTTATATTTGCTTTGTCTCGCGACAGTCATACTTGTTCAGTCGTATCCGTTGTGCGATGATGTGGACTCTTTGATGAGGCCAGCTATAGGCTGACTGCTGAAGCGGTCACCCATTCGCAGCACATAATTACTTTTCACTTGCTCCATGGCCGGTGTTAGCACTTGCTGCCTATTCATCTCCATATGCTGCAGCTTACCACGCCTATCAATTCTCTTACTACTACCGCCCATTGACTCCGAGCGCCAATTCGAATCAGAACTCCTCGCATGTCGATCGCTGTTAACAATCTTCGGAGTGTTGGGCTGAACTATTGATAGACCTGATTCCACCCTGTCCATCGATCTTGGATTTTCGACATCGAATCGATTCTTATTAGCATTGGCTGCTATAAAAATCTCGCCCGAAATTGACACAGCGTGTGTATTATAGTTCAGTATGCTCGTCAGCAAAAGAACAAGAGGTAAGGATTTGTACATCATGTGTATATTGTATTTGTTATCGTTCAGAGTTCGATCGGGAATTCTATGCTTGATCCTATTTCGTGGTGAAGGGATGCCTTCGATGCAAGATTGTGAGTATTATACTGTCAACCATATGTATACATTAACTTTAAAAGTACGATTGTGTATTCAACGACATACGTCCGCGGACCGTGAGCAGGATATATTGGAACCACTACGCGCTCAATACGGTTGTTTTATACTATAATGATTCTGTATATATTGTACCAAGTACCAACGAAGACTGTACGTGGGTCGGTCTTCGAGTCTTGACTCGAGTTTCGAATCTCTCTAACAGTACTAATAAAATACTTGTTGCGAGTTCAAATGTAAATACAAGAAGCTTTGCAGTTTGCAACATTCAGTCTCAAGAGTTGAATTTCAAGTTTCAGACTTTCATACCCTCATATGTATCGCAGACTCGCAGTCTCGCAGTCTCATAGACGACAACCTGGGTCTCTACTACTCTAGTAGAGACTAGAGTAGAGTGAGTCTCTAACTGCTGGTAGGAGGCAGACGGCAGTGCACTCTGTGCAGTCTGCTCACTCTGCAGTCTGCACTCTGCACTCCGCAGTCCACAGTCTGAGACTCTGAGACTCGTGAGTCTTCACACGCCACACAGGGGGCCGCATAGTGCTGACTGCTGAGTGCTGACCCAGAGCTAGATTGGTACCCAGTACCCACTACCCAGGGCCAACCGGCCAGCCACTCCCACTCCCGAGTCCCCAGCACGCTGCCACGAGATGCTAGCATCCCCAGAGGCCAAAACCATGGAGCGATTGGTCTGTTGTTATTTTAAACATACCAAAGTTGTTTCTATATCAAACTAAAAGCCAAAAGCCAAAAGCCAAAAGCAACCAAAGTTACAGTTTTTTTAATAAAAAACTGACCCATCTCAGAAAATACCGAAACTAAAAAAGAGCAAATTATATATATATATATATATATATTTAATTTTTTTTAAATAATATATCGTTGCTATTGGAAACCGATTAAAAAAACAAATTGGGTTTGTTATATTCTCAAAAACACCACATTCCTGGTACCATTATGTTTTTTATTTTTAAAAAGCAAAATCAAATAGAGTTTGAACACGGTTTTTTTTCTTCAAAACCCCACAAATGATTTTGTCAACGTCCCCTGCTAAGTAGCTCTCCTGAGTCGTGACGCTCTCTCTCTTATGTTTTGTTTTAAAAAAACAATTCTATTGAGAGTGTGAGGGCCGTCCGGCCGTGACCAAAAAAATATTTTAGTACATAGGACATAGTATGTACAGTCGTACACACATACATATTTACCTACTGTTACATAGCTATTAAAAAAGCCTAAAAATATCATAAAGGCTCCAAATTACTCATTCTATTTTGTACATAGTGTCGTGACGTATCCTGAATTCACTGATGAGAGCATCAATAAAGTATTTTTGACCAAAAAAATTGCATAGTCATATCACTCATATCAATATGTACAAATCCACTAAATACATATCCACATATCCACTATCCAGATCTGATTCCAAATTTCCATTCAATGTATTTATTTGAAATTTAAAAAAAATGAAAAATGTAATACCTGTCAGGCTGTATGTACGTAAATATTTGTATGACTATGGAACTGTTTTTGTGTCGTCACTTGTCCACTCAGACTCGCCAGTGACTAGTGAGGCAGTAACCACTAACCAGTCGTCACTCGCCAGTACTCAGTCGTACTCTGTTATATTTTAAACCTGTGTAACAATCCAACAGCCAATAGAATGGCCTGAACATTTGAAATCGAAAATGTAAAATGTGTTTGGCCAATAAAAATTACGTTTGAGAAATCGAATACGACTGAAGAAATTTTTTTAAAGTTGATGTTGATGTGTGTTTTTGAAAATAATCGTCGTCTAAAAATGACAGGCTCTATTTTCAAACACATAGCTGCTGAGAAGGGAATGTCTTTATACGGCACTGGTGACAATAAAATTTTTAACTACCTCAGGCCAAGTTTCCTACCAGTCTCATTCTTACTTTTTCGAGTTTACTTTGCTTTTAAGATGTAATTAGCGCGATTTTAGCCCATTTATTGCACTTGTTGTATTAGTTCTTTGTCGGTCTCAGAGGAGAGGTCGACGTATGTTAGACACGAATAGTGTCAACTGTAAAACCTTGGGCGAATCCGAAGCAATAGCTAAGACAGAGGACGCCTATATACGTGTGTCTAACTGCTAACGTATGTCAAGCCCTTAAGACCGACAAGGACCTAACATAAGTGCAACAATGGGTTATATCCGCGCTACAATATCTAACATTTAACTCGAGCGCTTTCAGCCGACAGATAACAAACAAACCGGCAGAAAACAAACACATCCATTTTAAATACACCTACATTTTTAAGCAAATTAATCTCGAAAAAGTACAAGTATGAGACTGGTAGGAAACTAGGCCTGAGGTGGTTAATAATTTTATTCTCCAGTGCCGCATAAAGACATTATCTAAATTGTTTTTCTTTACAAAACAAAATCTAAAATGCCGATCAGGCGATCAGGCGATCAGGCGATCAGGCGATCAGGCGATCAGGCGATCAGGCGATCAGGCGATCAGGCGATCAGGCGATCAGGCGATCAGGCGATCAGGCGATCAGGCGATCAGGCGACCAGCCATATTTTTGTTCTTTCTTCCTTTTTTATTTTTATTTTTATTTTATTTTTAAACGCCAGTGTTAATAAAAATAAAAATTAATAAATATAAATAGACTGACTTTGTCTGAATATACGACACCCGTCACTATAAAACTATTAACACACGAGCCGTGTCCTAAACCGCATCCGGACCATACGCAAAGGTAGTTTCGATACTTTTGACAAAAGGCGACTTTGGACCAAGTACCGAACTATTATTCGTGTACACTTGGCATGCAATATCTTTGCCGATACAACAGTCAAGTATCAGCTCTCGGTACATTATCTACACCTAGTGCCTGAAATAGAATACACACAACGCCTCAGACTAGAGAGCCAATGTTCTGTTAAACCTGTGAGCGTGAATTCGTTCAGACGTGGATCCATACTTCTGAATATTAATATTAAAAAATCGTTTCATAGCCTTCTAAAAATTATACACGCAAGAAGAAAAGAAGGCTATGTAAAATTATTTTTAAAAATTTACAATTGCACATTTACACTGTAGACTGTCTGTAGTCCAACGATGTTGAATTTGGGTTTGTCCCGTTCTGTGATTTCATTAACCAGTTTTTTTTAGAACATAAATTCAAAACAAAATCATTCGGGTTTTTAAAATAACTTCATATATGTACATATTTACTACAATCTAAATCCATAGGAATACTAGGGCTCGGGCGTTAATAGTTTTATAGTGACGGGTGTCGTATAGACAAAGTCTGCGAGTTCAAGACATTTATTTAAAATTTAAAAAAGGCAGCTCACTTCAAAGTTCAAGTTGTGAACTTGTTTCTCGCTACTCACAGTGTCTCTAAAGGGTCTATATAGTCTTGTGCCTGTGTGTGATTTTTTGATTTGTGATTTTTTTTATTCTGCATCGTGCATAGCCCGGGCGCTCTATAATATCCTACAAGAGATTAGAGTTCTATGTACATATTGGGTTGTCTTCCATACAAAGAAAGGCTGATATGTTTGTAACTTGTGATTTTATGTTTGTGTATATACATTTACATATTTTGTATATACATCGTACTTAAGATACCTTTAGTATACAGATAATCCGTGGTTTTTATTCCATTTAATGGCTAATACCGCACGCGGTGACTATCTATCAAATCGTCTCGGGGAGTGATCGAGATAAGGTTGTTGACTTGTGTAGCTTGCGTTGATGTTTGGAATTTGGGCTGCTCTAGTGAGTCTAGAGATTAGATTTATAGAAATAGAAAACGTAGACAAACAAAGCTTTTTATTTGAATTAGACATAGACTCGTCAATTTTACATTTTATAGTACGTTTGTTTTAAAAAATACCCCCTGATATAAATAAATAGTTTCCAAGAGTTAGAATAAACAACACTAACAAACTGAAATACCGAAGAAAAAAAAGGGTCACTACCGATAGCTGATCTCAGCTCACTTCGCCTTGGCGGGGAGCAATGCTAAGCCAAGTTGTCAAGTAGTCCCCAGAGTGCAGTATATTATAAATATCCGTCTATGTGTATATACCATTTAAAAAGGTAACAGATGTCCACACATATTCATATATAGAGCGAGAACCACGCTTTCTAAACTTTAAACCCTAATATCATGTGTATATGGTATTAGTATACATTGTCAAAAATCTGCTAAGATCCCATCACTTCGCACCACTCGGTAAGTCGACAAAGTAGATAGATGCATGGTTCTACAGATCCAAACAGTACAAAACAAAAAGAAAATATTCAATCAAATTTCCCGGAAATTTCTGAGGGTTCGAAGCCTGACAAAGTCGGGTTTGACTTAGAAACCAGACTGCCTACATCTTCTTAATCTCTATCCCTCTGGTGGGCCATGGCTAGATATTAATAAGACATTGCTGTAATTTTAAATTGATCACTCTCTTTCTCCCGTTCACTAGTAGGCCTCTCTCTTCACTCTCTGGGTATGTGTAGAACTGTAGGCAGTACTCACAGGAGACACAGAGTATGAGAAAATAATAAATTATAAAATATCATCCGAGTTCTTGACCCTCTATAGTTGAGCGAAGTGTATTTATAGTTTAATATGCCTTATCACCTGATCCGTCGCCGATCGCCATCGGACTAAATGTCTGGGAGTCTGACAGAGAAACAACATTTTATGCTAAAAGCTTGGGTCATTTTTTATGCTAAATAATACATAGTATTTACGTACATACCTCAATTTTTTTTTTAAATACCTGTATCAGGCTGTCTGATGTATATTTTAAAATTTGTAATGTTTTTTATAAAAGTAAAGCTCGAGAAGCTCGAATAACACGATGTATGTCAATATTTATATATTTTAAGCTGAACAATGAACATTGAAGGTCTCATTTCTGTGTTATAAAAATTAAAACCTCTACAGTCTTGTCTTTTTTATTAAAAATGCGAATATAGAGCTGTTCCAAATTTTAAATTTTGCCAATAGTAAGAACTATATCTTCAGGGTTTAAAAGTATAGCGTTTTGGTTGTTCTTTTACTTTACTTGGGCATTATATTTAACATGCATGTGTTTTATTATTTTATTATGCAGCAGTCAAATAGACAACACTGCAACAGTCAATTGTGGCCTCTCTCTCTCTACTAGTATTTAGTGGGCTATGGCCCGTGTGGTTTAGACTTAGTTTCATTCGGTAGCTATATAAATAAATATATACACACCGGTGGTATATTCTCATATTGAGCTCCTCTGTGTGCTGAACGTCCGTATAATTTTAATATCACCCACTATGGGAATAGTATTAGGTAAAGTAGACGTGGAGACGCCGAAATACACTACCGTGTACGAAGGCAAAGACTATGCAGTTCGCAGATATCCACCAGCCGTCGCAGCGGAAGTGTCATATAAACTCGGTGCGTGTAAATTGTGATAATACGTACTACTCTACGTGTAGAGTCTGCTATCACAGGTATCTTGCACGTTATATTTACACAGTTTCGTTTATCTGACGCTGGATGGTTTCACTCTATTCGAATATTATATATATATATGTGTGTGTGTGTGTGTGTGTGTGTGTATATATAT